CTGCGCTAATGGTGTACGCTGGCGGGCCCCCAGTGGAGGATGATAAGTTGACTATGAGGTCAGGTCAGTTAGCCCATAGTGGCAAATTCACTAGGAATTATGGCTTCCAGTGCGGACCGTGTCTTGTAGCCGTCATCTATGTACACAAACTAGGTATCTGGATATATGTATTAGTATTTTATGTTTTTTAGCAAAAATGTTGATGGTATTAGAAATAAAGTTCCTATTACTCACTATCAGCTATTTAGAATGAAAATAGTAACACATTTTATTATTACTCCGCAACCACACGGATAAAAAATAAATAATCAAAGCAAATTGGTCACGTCTGTAATGGATAGAATAATGGGCATAATCAAGGTAGTCTATACCCTAGAGAACTATTGTTTGTTTTCCTATAACTATAATGGTATTCAATTCAAGGAGCCACGCATACACCATACATCCCATGAATATCAATGAATTCTGGAATGGTCTATATTTTATATAGGTATATAATATGCATACTGTATTTCTATAAGTTATATTTGAAGTAATCTTAAAAAGTCGTCTTCGTGGGTAATTCGTCTACCTTTTCAGCTGTCAAGCAACTTCATTTTCAACCTGTATTTCGGTAGCGCAGGAAATGGTATCAAGGACATTCATCAGATAATATCCGTGATTATATTGTTTTTAAAAGACTTCTATGTATTTCAGTACATCAGCATCTGAACCCTTCCTGATAAGTATTTAGAATTTCTGAACCCCCAAGGGGTGAGGGTTGGGACCTCGGGGTGATCCCCTTTGCCCCGGCACCAACCTCGGGAAACTGGGTTAACAGCCTCTTGGGACGGGTTTCTAAAATTAACTTAAATTCCAAAATCTATGCTAGAGATAAAAAAAATGTTCTGATGTGGTGTATTCCATGTCAATTTGATTACCATAGATGGCGCAGATCGCACTAGTCTTCAATATAGGTAGTACATTAGCCTTCGTGCGTTGTAATGGTGTTAAACAAACACACCTTAACTGATATCAATGGAGTTACTCATAACCAGTGTTGCCAATATGTTTGGTCAAATCACTACAAGGAGTAACAAAAACCACTAGAAAACTATCAAGTTTTTAACCGTGTATCATCAATGAAATTACAAAAAAAAACAATAAATTATACTTTGCGTAAAATGACTAAATCTAAATAAATAATTAAATCTGAATCTAATAAATAGCGACTGTTACGAATATCCTAAAGTCTAGTCTCATAAGTAATATAACTTTCTACGAATTTTGGAAATTGATTTATACATTTTTTTTATTAGAAATTTGGTTACTAAATTTCTATCTGGCTATATAGACATGAATATAGATATTTAGAAAGGTAGTGTATTCGATGTCTTCTATTGTTTGTAAATTTTCCTGCCTTTTACTTTTACCAATTGTATACATATTTTACTTTTGTGTTTCACTATATTTATCAGCGCTGCGTATTAAATCCCTACATTTTTCAGTAACAAATCCACCAGATTTAGTAGTGACAACACTAATATGGCAACACTGCTCTTATCTGTGCCTGTACACATTAATATGTGACTAAGAGTATTTAGGTTTGTTAGTAATACAAATCTTGCAACATCCTTTTTTATGAATTAACTTTAAGATCCTACGTCTACGTGCTGGTAATCTACAAATTGTATTGATTCTGATTACAATATATTAATTCATACAACATTGTTACATATACATACATTATAATAGAGTACATATACATATTATACACAGTTATATTAGAGTTAAGCACTAAGGTCTATGCTTAAGAAACATTTGTAGATTTTGTAGTTGAAAGTTGAAGAGAAAACGCCACTACGCATATTATGTGATTGTAGCCCACTCATGCATAAACGGAATATTCTACTTCGCAAGGATAAAGTGTATACTTTCATACACCCTTTATCCTGAGGATATATAAAACCATTGTTGTTTGGTTTTGTTTGGCATTCCAGTTACGTAAAAGAAATTAAATATCAACAAGGCGAGGCTATCAACTAGATAAGAAAATGAGGCTATAAAGACTGATTAAAGCAAGTAAAAAATATATTGTGCATTATTTACAGTACAATATGTATTACGGTATAAACTTGTGTGTATAAATCTCAAAGTAAAATTCCACAGAGAAATCTCGAAATTTCACAAATACAATTTTTTTATAAGAAATGAACTCTGCCGCGAACCTAACGTAGTATTTATAAAAGAAAAAAAAACCGGAGGAAATGTTTTAAATAAAAGCTGTCTAAAAATGGTCTTCAGTATACAGATTTTTTTATTGGGCGAGGTTTTTTTTTTTAAATTTGAAAATTGGGGCGGGGGAACCAATTCTGTGGGCAATACCAAACAGTCCTCTTGCAATATTGGTCTAAGAATAAGGGTGGAAGTAACTTTTCGCTATATATGACAAATCTGATCTTTTGTTTGTCTATTCTGTCTATAATTCGCAAAAACAATGTCAATCGAACCTTATCAGTTATCTCAACGATAACACTTACATACCTGCTTATAGCGTTTCTACTTAATACGTATTATTTTAATTTTTATTATAAACTTCACTTGAATTTATTGACTCATATACAATTATTCACGGTCTATATATTATTATTACCTGAATTATTCATCTGAAAATGTTATTGTAAATATTTCTGTTATTCTCAGATATTGAGTGTTCAGTTTATTTTGTACTAATGAAGAGAACGAAGTACATACAAAGGATCAGTTTTTGCAAAGCCAATGTAAAGCTCAAATGGTCCATTATGTATATGCACGAGAAACACTAATATTTTGTATGGTATAAGTAAACCGTCTAACCTGAACATTAAATACTGAAAAGATTTGATGTTTAAACCAAAAACAAGGAACATAAAAATAAATAAAAATGAGGACAAACTCAAAAATAATCAAGAATATCAGAGACAATGGCCGACTGACCGACATAGAGAATTGGCAGTAAGATAAGTGGATGCCAACATGAATATTTCTTCCCAAAAACCATCTGATATCGTTTTAGTACATTCAATGTTATGTTATTGTAAGTACCCCTGCCCGTCCCTCAACTCTAGTGTCTCTGTCTCACCTATTACAGCCATCAAGCAGTCGAAATATGATATATAATAGATACCGGCTTGTTAGTGTCAGTAATCTCCACGCGGTTCCCCCTAGAACTCTTAATGATAATTCCTGGTGAATTTGTCACCATAGGGTAATTGACCTGATCACATATTCGTCCTATCATACTCCACCGGTGCCTCGCCAGCGTAAACCGTTAATACAGGCGGGTGCATCATCTGATTTCATCCATTAAAAGAAACGAGACACGTGATGTCCATGGTGCTGTTTAAAAGGCGAGCCTTCAGCATGTTAAACATTCTAATCATTAAATAAACAGTCTTATTCTGTACGCAACGACAACTGCAGATAAGTTTGTACAAAATATCACTATGGTGTTTAACTAATATCTATGTTTTGTTTGAATAATGAATAGTTTTAATGTGAAACTATGAAGAATGATTCATTTTTAAAAACACATCTTGTATATTCATTCATAATGTCTCTCATAGATCGAAGTTACTCATTAATTGTACAAATACACGTGGTATCTATCTGTCTCTTTCTCGCTGTGTTTATTACCCGTACTTTGAATGAAAGATCATAAATTTGAATATGACCAACATAAAAATGCTTTGTGTAATTTATCCAACGATGTAAACACAAGAACAAACTAAGAATTTAAATTAATATGAACGACCACGATACGACTTGCCCTCTACTTTTACTATATATACTGAGCTACTTTTACTGTATATATATTACATTGGATATATACTGAGGATCATGTGAGGGTGGTTATATCAAGTGTTGAGTTCATCTTAAAGCTGATGTTGACAATATCTCTGGGTATCCCGTCTAGGATAACAATCATAACGATATATGAAAATTAAATATTTGTCTTTTAAAATAAAATTATACAGGCTGTTCTCGAAAAAGCCAATTTACATTATTTTTATACTACGACGATGGCAAACAAACATGAGCATGCTCATCTGATGATAAAAGGTTATCATAACCTATGGACACCTGAAACACCAGGGGTGTCACGTGCGCGTAGGCGTCCCTTAAGACACCTTAATATACTTATACTTGAAGAACCCCAGGCTGTAGTCTCTCTAGAAAATCTCGGCAGATAGGTTTAATCTACAATCTAAAGTGTACGCGTTAGGTAGCTCCTCTGAAACCGCATTGTCCGAAACCACTTAGGATTAGGATATTAGGATCCAAGTGGAGTGATTTCATTGGGATTTAGTAAACAAATTCTGTTATTATCAATTCGTCTATAAAATGTACGTTGGTTGTTATTTGAGAAATGTGGCATAATTCGTACCAGAAGGAGATTGAATTGATATTAATATCTTTAAACATTTTTTTATTTTATTTAGTTGTTGAAAGGCTATTTAGTTATCTATCATTATTTTATTATCTATCCGAATATAGGTAATAATAAATATAATCCTTGACGAATTGTCAATGATATAAAATATTAGCAGATCTAGCGGTTTAGCATATCTCACTTCCAAAGGGCGCAGATTCGATTCCAAACTAGTGTTTGGAATCTTTGATAATTTCAAACATATGTATAATTGAATATAATAATTTGTTTAGATCTAGTGTTTTTTATTTATATTATTTAAGTAATTCCATTGTTTAGTATCTATAACACAAGCACAGCTTACTTTGGAACTAGGTGGCGCTGTGTGAGTTGTCTTGAAATATTATTATTATTATTTATTTCGTTTTGTATTGTATTTGTCAAAACAATCTATTCTTCTTTCTCTATAATTTTTACATATACAAGAAAAATGATAGTACATTTTTATTTTTTTGGTAATATTCTACATTTTTTTCATAACCTTGCCACATTTTCGAAGTAATCTATAATCAATTCACCACCATCGAATAAAAAAAAAACATGTACTTACAATTTTGAACGCTTTCACGACTATAGTGGCGACTGTCTGAAGGGAAACCATGTTTCTTTGTTTTTATGTTCACTATTCACTTATTTACCGTTTACCGTCACTCTAACACCTTTTTGTGTTCATGGATAAGTTGTAACTAGTTTTATTTTTCCGATAAGATTACTCATACTGACTATGTTATCTTCTTTATACAGATAACAGTTTGTGATAGCAGGATTTTGCTACAGGTTGAAAATGGTTCAGCTACTAATCATATACGAATTCGAAGAAGAATGATATAATTAACAGTATACGTTTTGTGATTAAGTTTTTCATTATTAACAACGCTAATAATGGAACTGAAAAGCTTATATTTAAGATTAAATTACGTCATTAGTAGGAGTAATGTGAGTAAATTGGCGTCTTTATCATCACAATATTAACGGCAAAGATTTCAATTTTTATCAACAATTGCAAACCATTGCTGACTTATACTTGTATATTTCTTTTATTCCTTGACATCGTTCTGCTCATTTCGTTGCCTGATTGATAAACTTTTATATCAGAGAAAAGATCTAAAAGTACGTAAAGAAACAAAAATAATAACATAAAAAATGCAGTTGAGTTTCTTGCCAGTCAACTGAAGTAGCTAGCCGTATGTATAGAAGAGACCGAAAGGTTCTATGTGGATAAATGATATTGAATTTGAATGGTATCTTCTTCTTTATGGTTTTGTCCACCGCTGTTCTGAACAAAGATAATCTCGAACTACTGCCTTAAATTCTTTAGCCATGAAGTGTGGCGACTGCTCCACCTTTGGCGGCCCTGAATTTTTCCTTGAATTATTAATTGTAAAAGACAATAAATATAACTATATATAAATAATATCTAAGCAAGTATCTTAGATTAAATTAAACTTATATACCGCATAGATTTTGCCAAAAACTCAATTTATGTTTCTGATAGACCTTAGCCTTTGATAGTAATATTAATTTTAAACTTCACTTCCATGCCTATCACATTGAATTCAAATACCAGTGGAATGTGAGCACACAAGTGAAAGAAAGAAAAATGTAATAGTTGAAAGTAAGGGTTTAACTACGACGTAGACAGATAATCTCTCTGACTGACCCAACTGATATGTCAATGTACCTATGTAAGTGAAGGTATTAATACTAATCTATTATACTGGAAAACATAAAAATTTCCACTACCGATGAGGAAATGAAATCACAATTTCATTATGGTACCGACCAACTAGTTTCAATTTGATACCGTGTTTCCTGGAGCCCTTTTTTGGGTCCTCACAAAAATGTTGAAAGTAGTACAGCGGGCCACACTTGCGTGCTAAATACCAGTGGAACCGCGCCGCGCGTGTGTTCAATTGGTTACAGATAATAATATTGTTTGCTTTCTCTAGTTTTTTGCTCAGTTCTATACTAATGGTTACTCGCCACTTGATTTGCTATTTTTTGAGATAAAATATAGCCTTTGTACGTCCTCATGATATTTATATATTAATACGTGGAGCAAAAATTTTCTACTCATTTCTACGAAAATTGCGCGGGCGGAGTAGTATGAAGTTTAGTTTATAGAGAAGGAGTGTAGAATACTACTATTTTGTTTTAAATTATGCAAAATATATATTATATTAATAAAAAATGCATTGCAGATATGTATTTGACACATAAACGTATGTTGTAATAAATACTCTATTGTTTTTGTTAAAATCTGTGATCAAAATTGACAATAGATTAATATTGTTTATCTTTAATATTATTATTCTATAGTCATACTGTATTATAAAATATTATGTTTTTTTTTTAATTAAATACAATTTTCCATAGACATATTCGTTCGTGGAAAATTGTACTTCATACTTTCTTTAAACTCATAATAATGCAAACTTAACAGAGGATAAAATTAATACCCGAAGACAATTATTAAATAGATTTCAGTTATATATTTAATAGTACATGATTCACTATTTCTACATCACTATTTTAGATCATTAGTGTTTGTCAGTGCACAACAAACTGTGTTACACCTTTATTTTATTATTGTGTGGAAATGACTCAGAGGTAACCCTCTTCTCAATATAATTAGTATTTTTATTATTTATTTATGTTATTGTGATACACAAGGTTAAGGTTATACATTATGCTCTTTATGATACCTCAGAAGGTATAATATAGAAGGTATATCGTAATATTTCTCTCCTTCCACTATCATGTACTTTTATCTTATTCCTTACCTATTATTAACTCTAAACATTGTATGATTATAGTTTATTTAGTGTTGTATAAACATCATAATTTATTTATATATAACTTATATTACCAGGCCCCCAACCGAATGTACATTCGGTTGGGGCCTGGTGATCTGTATTACAGGTTATACCTATTTCAGACACCAGCTCTTCATAGCGTAACAACATTTTGAAAACGTTATTGTATTGAACACGCAAAGCGCTGTATGCCTGCTGTGTACGGTAGTAGTGCATGTAGAAATAATGACAATAAGTATTACAATAAGAGGCATATTTAAATAATTTTCTAAAATAAATAAGTATACAAAAGTTATCGCAATAGCCCTGCACCTTTGTTTTTATTGCAAGGATGTTTAGTAATGTTTAGGAAAGTTTCAATTCGTTTCGATTTTCCCAAAATGCCCTTGAGTTCAGTAATCCATTGTATTGTTTCCATTGTTTAGTCAATTGAGAAAATTCTTTCGTTAGTTCCACTGAAATTTTCCAATTAGTGTTTCTTAGTTTACGTTATTTATTATCTCTATATATACAAAACATTGAGACGAGGCGAAAATCTGTTTGTCCGTTTGAACATTAATCATTCACTTTTCAGTCTGCAACTGTACCGCTACTTCATCTCATATATTATTGATGTGCCAAATTGCATGATTTCCAAGACGTTAAGGTGAGAGTGTAAAGAAACAAATTAAATACAACGTCTACATAGCTGAGGTGGACATTTTAAAAAGTTATCAGCGTGACTACCTCTGTCTAACTATTTCTGCCAAGCAGCTAAGTAGTGTTTGATTAAGGGTGAAATAAGTCCAGAAATTTCTAAGATAAGAGGTGTAACATCTTGGTCCTCTGGAATCGCAACACAATAATATCACTGGCGTCACATTAAAACGATAAGTCGTAATGCTGTTACGACGTGCTGTTACGTATATAGGCCACGGTTAGCACTCACCATCAGGTGGGCTGTCAGCTTGTTTGCGCATTTTAATAACATTATCAAATACGTTTTAGCATTTATAATATTAGTTGGATGTTAAATAAGGTTCAATTGATACAAATTCGTAATTATAATTTCAACGTGTAATTATAATATCTACACTAGGTTTAAAATAAAAAGTAAAGTTTATTCCTAGAATAATAATGCCATTAATATACAACTAACCTAAATGCAATTAACAGGATAAAATCTTGTTGGGAAAATGTATAAGCATAGGTGTACGTTTGTGTGTTCGTCGGGATATATCTAAGTCTGAGCTCATCAGGTTAATGCGGCGTTTCTAGCGATACATTTGCTTTTTTTTTTAAGCGCAAAAATAAAAAGCAAAAATCATAAGTATTAACGGTTCTCTTTTATTTTCAGGAACTCGGTCTCGATATCACCAACGAACAGATTGTCGAGCTTGAAGGTGCTATCCATGACATTGACTTTGCTAAAGCGGCAGAACATGAAAAGCGTGTTAGACACGATGTGATGGCTCATGTCCACACTTTAGCTGAACGGTGTCCCCGAGCAGCCCCCATTATTCACCTTGGTGCCACGTCATGTTACGTCGGAGACAACACGGATCTCATCATAATGAAACATGGCTTGGAATTGCTGCTGCCGAGAGTAGCCGCTGTGATTCATCAGCTCGCCAAATTTGCTGAACAGTATAAGTAGGTCTTACTTACAACTAAAATTATTTTCGTATGTTTCTATTACTTAGAATTATTGTTTTTATTATTACCTATGTTTAGATGATTCATATAGTAGTAGAATAAAAGTTTTTTTGTTCAATAATATTTCATATAGGCTTGTTCTATTCGTGGTGTTCATAGCCGTTGAATCCCATTTTTAAAAACTGGTTTTCTATTGTGTTACGTAAAAAAATGTTTAATATCCAATAACGTAAAAGCTGCTGATATAATTGAAATAAGTGAGATGATATATTAATTGCTATATATTTATTTACCTTTCAGATCGCTTCCGATTTTGGGTTTTACACATTTTCAACCCGCGCAACTGACAACCGTTGGCAAGCGAGCATCGCTATGGTTGAGTGATTTCCTCATGGATGAACGTGCGCTGTCACGAGCAAAAGATGACCTCAGATTTCGAGGAGTGAAAGGTACCACAGGAACCCAAGCTTCCTTTTTACAGCTTTTCAAAGGAGATGCTTCTAAAGTCCGAGCACTAGACGAAAAGGTAGCAAAATTGGCAGGTTTCGATAAGCGTTACCTTGTGACAGGACAAACTTACTCTAGAAAGGTTGATTTGGAAGTAGTCTCTGCGTTATCTGGTTTAGGAGCAACGGCGCATAAGATGTGTTCGGATATTCGTTTACTTGCTTCTCGTAAAGAACTTGAGGAACCATTTGAAGCTACACAAATCGGATCTAGCGCAATGCCCTATAAGAGAAATCCTATGCGGTCCGAACGTTGTTGCGCGTTAGCTCGACACCTGATAACACTACAAGCGAACGCTGCTAACACGCATGCAGTACAATGGCTTGAACGTACTCTGGACGATTCTGCGAACCGTCGCTTAACTCTTGCCGAAGCATTCTTGACAGCTGATGCAACTCTTCTTACATTGTTAAATATTTGCCAAGGATTAGTAGTCTACCCGAAAGTTATTGCTCGTCATATAGCACAAGAATTACCATTTATGGCCACTGAAAATATAATTATGGCCATGGTACAAAACGGAGGAGATCGTCAAGTATGCCATGAAAAAATAAGAGTTCTGTCTCACGAAGCTGGAGCACAAGTAAAGCAACAGGGCAAAGATAATGACTTGATCGACCGCGTGAAGAGCGATCCTTATTTTGTCCCAATTATTTCACAGCTGGATAGTATATTGGACGCGTCTACGTTTATAGGAAGAGCTCCCGATCAAGTATCAGAATTTATTGAAGAAGAAGTAAATCCTATAATTTTTAAATATAGCAGTATTTTGGCCGATGCAGAAAAGCCTGCAATCCTAAATATTTGAAGTGAATTATATTGCTGTTAATTACTTAATAAATAATTTTTAATTCTTATTAATATTGTTATGTAAGGATTAAAATTCGGAGAATATTGTTTAAAAATTATATATTTACAAGTTCAAGAGCATTATTTCTATATTTAATATAACCAATATCATACAAAATATCACTATAATACAATGTGTCACATTTTACATGATCTAGACAATGGTAACTAAAGGTCAATCAATAAAATCGAAGTACATACTTAACAAGCATCAAGCTGAGTAAGTACATATTTAATAATAAATTACACTAAAATAACATCAACAAAATGGTCAAATAAATAAGCTTAGAGTAATACAAAGAGAGACATACAATTCACGATTTCCATGACATAGAGTAAAAACATTGTTATTATTTTAATCACAATTTAGATGGCACTAGCAAATTAGAAATGTTTTATGTCCCATTCAATTAAAGAGTATTGGTCAATAGCGTATCTCCTTGGCATGCTGGTCCCTGACTCGGCCAGTTACATGCGCCCATATTAGGATCGAACGTTAACTGCACTGGGCAGTTAAATACATGGAGCGTAAATCTTTGCTTAGTACAATCCCATCTGCAAGCATAGAATTTGTTACATTGCTTTGGATGCCTGAACAAACCTGCTCTTTGGCAGTCGACTGTTCCTTGCAATGTCTCGTCTCTACTTCTCCATCCACCAGGCCCATAGCGATCGAAAGATTGTGAATTAATGATACTATCTGCGGATTCTGCCTCTTTAACTTCAGCATTAGATGCCCCTTCTTGGTTCAACAAAACAGTTTTGTAAGTCGGCGCAATAGTCACAGCCTTTACTCTAGGTCTTATTCTCACTGTTTTTTCTGTAGATGAAACAACAATAGGAGTACTAGATTCGAAGTTTTCGGAATATAACTCATTTATTTTAGGAGTTACTGCGGCAACGTAATTATTCGGTTCTTGGTAATCCTGGTAATACGAATCATCTGGTACTATTATAGGGTTAATGGTAGATGAAATAATTGGAGAAGGTGTAGCGGAATTAATTGATAATTGTAAGTTTCCAGATCGTTGACCCCATTGATTATCACTAATATCTCCACGATCAGAGTCATCGTAATCATTATTGTAATCGATTACATCCGGTTGCACTTGTACATTGGGCCTCTTTCCTTTCAGTATAAGCACAGGTGATTGACAACTACAAACAGCACCGAGTTTTCGTACAAGTAATGGATTAAAATCGTTTATTTTGGTTACAACAGCTACCTTGGGCTTAGTCTTTCTAATTGGAACTTCAGATATTTCTTGATTAAATGGTGCAAGTGTCGATGTCACTATTTTTGGCCGCAATGAATAAGAATCAGTACTAGATATAATCGGTTGTGCTGTAGTATGTGTTACAGGAGACACGAGCCCAGCATCAGGTCCTACAGTGCCAAAACCTAATAAATGGGACTTTGCAGTTTCGACTACTATATTTTGTTGTCTATGCACAGGAACTGGCCGAATTTTCTCGGGTCTTGTGTCACTAGGAGGTAAATATTCCGGTGCTTTATATTGAGTTGTTGACTCAATGTATGTGTATGGAGTATTTGTCGAAGACACAACAACAGGTGCAGCTGTAGTGTAAGTTACTGGGGAAATTAAACCAGCATCAGGTCCGACAGTACCAAAGCCAAGTAAGTTAGATTTTGCTCTTTCCACCACTAAATTCGGTTTTCTTAAAGGAGTTAAAGTCGAAACAGAATATTGTTCTTGATAAGGATTGTTCTTAATAATTTCTTCTGTATTTTGCTGATTAAAACCAAAGTTTTCAAAATTCACTATATCAGATCCCTTTTCGTCCGCAGGTGGTAAATATTCAGGGGCTGAATATTCTGTTGTTGATTGTGTGTATTTGTAGGTTGGTCGCTGGGTAGTTGATATTACAATGGGCTTGGCTGTTTTTGGGGGTAAATAAATATTTTCAACTTTCGGTGGTAAATATTCACGTTCATTGTATTTAATGTCAGATGGTGGCAAATATTCCCGTGTTGTAGAAGCACTACTCAAAGTGCTGGGTTTGTATGTAGAAGTTACTATTGGTGTTGAAACAACTGGAGGCAAATACTCTTCAGCTTTATAACCAACTTGAATTTCAGGTGATTCATAAGCAACTTGTTTATATTGAGTGGTAATTGTAGTACCGGGGACTGACGAAAAATGAATAGACTCTTTTTTCGGTTGTGAAATGTGAGATGTACTATATGAAATCTGTTGAAGTGGTGAGTTGTGTATCGATTCATAGCGTGGCGAATTATCTACAGCCTTGTAATATTTCTCGTCGTCAGTTTCATGTATGATAGAGGACTGTTGCTCTGCAAGGGGAGACAAAGTAGATGACACACTGTAGGATTGTTGATATTCAGTTTTTGGTGGTATGTACTCTGGGGTTTTGTATAGTTGTTGTTTCCGTGGCGTTTCATATTCTGAATAGTGCTCTTCATATGCTAATGTCGATGGAGTCGATGACACAATTACTATGTCTTTTCCGGATTCGTATTGATCATTCGATTGTTGGATGAATTGGTGTGATACCAAATTCGCGCCTGAATATGATTGTCCTTTATTTAAAGTTTCAACGTTACGTTGTATTTCAGGTTGACTGTATGAATATCCTTCTTGGTTTAATTGAATGTTTTGGCTCGTATAAGACTGTTGTGCGGAACTTTCATATTTTACTGGCTGACTGACGTGACTAACCTCGTGTTGGTGAATTATTGGCTGATATGTCTGAGTATAAACAGAAGCAGTTGGTTTTACGTATGTAATTGGAGTAACTTTTTCGGTGTATGTTAAGATTGGGTTTTCATAAACGGAGACTGAAGGTTGTTGATAAGTCACTGCAACTTTGGGTGTGGACGAAACTGGAATATACTTCTGAGCTTCAACTTTATGAATAGTTTGATGGCTGTAGGACTGTGGCTTGTAGGTGGAGATTACTGTAGGTGCTGGTGTAGAATATTCATGTATAATATTAGGTCCATCTTCAAATTTAACTGAAGGCGCTTCATAATTATAACCGGTAGATCCACTGTAAGTATTTACTTTACTGGCTTCAACATTATGTAAAGTTTGATGACTCTGTACTTGAGGCTGATAAGTGGATACAACTTGTTGAATAGCTAGTTCTGGCTGAGCAGTGGTATATTTTACAGTTGGTTCTTCGTAGTTTACATTCGATTCATAGGTAACTTTTATTGAAGGAGTATAAAGCTTGCTATCCTCTATTTTATGAATTGTCTGATGACTATAAGCCTGAGTATTGTAGGCATGATGTACATTAGTTTCTGGAATTACTTTTTCTGTATATTTTAATAATGGATTTTCGTATACTGTGACAGGTGTCTGTTGATATGTAATTTCTACCTTTGGAGTATCAATTTTAGGAATTGTCTGATGATTATATGATTGAGGTTTATACGTTGAAACAATTGGTGCAGGAGTAGAGTATTCGTATGCAGTCTTTATTCCTTCTTCAAATTTTACTTCTGGCTTCTGGTATTCATAACCATCATTTTTAGAATAAACGTTTACTTGACTAGCGTCTACTTTATGTATTGTTTGGTGACTGAATACCTGGGGTTGGTACGTGGATACTACAGCTGGCTGGGGTGTGGTTGACGGAACTGGTAGATACTGTACTTGTGGTGTTTCCACTTTTTGAATTATTTGATGCTCTAATGACTGTGGGTTAATTGTTGACACGACTATTGGTACTGGTGTAGAGTACCCATATGTATTTACTGCATCCTCAAATTTAATTGCTGGTTTTTTATATTCATATCCTAGTTCAGATTCTTTTTCAGAATAGGTCTTCACTTGACTGGCATCTACTTTATGTAATGTCTGATGACTATATACTTGTGGTTGTTGATAAGAAGATACAACTGGCTGCACAGTTGTTAACTGAATAACAGGTTTGGGTGATTCGTATCTAATATCAGATTTCGAAAAGTCATAACCCGATTCAACTGCTGGTGCATATGCGTTTGATTCTACTTTATGGATTGTCTGATGGCTATATGAATGTGGTAAGTTGGCATCTGATGCTTGTGAATAGGTGACCGATGGACCAGTAGCTAAGTAAGCTACCAGTTTCTTGAATGGTTGCTCAGTAATGGGCGTCGGAGATGAATATTCAAACCCAACTGATTCGATTTTGTGTACAGTTTGTTGACCATGACCAAACCCTTGTGGTTTATACGTGGACACAGATACAATAGGTGCTGGTGTTGTAAAAGATATGCCGTCTTCAAATTTTATACTTGGTTTAGAGTATTCGTATCCTGATGTTACAGACTTGCCGCTAGACGATTGACTTACGGAACTAGAACCATCGTATTGATTAGAACTGAAGGCATTATTTTCGTACTGGTAATTCAAACCTTGGTTATAATCTGTAATTTCTACTTTAGGAGTAACATACTGTTTTACAGCAATGGCAGTTGGTTGTACATAAGTTATAGCTGGCTGTGAAATTCCAAATAATTGCTTTACAGTACTCTTAGGTGCTTCTGGGACATATGTTGTTCTATACGTCGTAACCGGTATAGAAGCTGTAACAGCAAATGGAGTTGCTGTTGTAGGAATTCCAGAGGATGTAGGTGTAGTGACATAACTGTATTCGTTTAAATTTTGACTGTTAGTTCCAACGTGGTTAATGGAAACTGCTGGTTGAGATACATAAGGTATATGCCCAGGATATGTTTCATGAATAACTTCGTGTCCTGTAACCAATTTTGAAGCAGCATTGGCTTGTTGGTAATTTAACTGGTCAGTGTAACCAGCGTCAACTAGTGTAGTTTTTCCAACCAGTCCAACATTCACCGCGCCAGCGGTTAGAGTATGAGAAGCGCCAGTATATGCTTTAGAGTTGCTCAAATAATTTCCTGTATTCGAGTTACTGTAAGTTCCATGATATTGACCTGTAGTGTCACTATTGTAAGCCCCAATGTGTCCATCAGCCCTATATACACCACCCTCGTATTTTCCAGAATTGCTGTTAAACGAATCTGAATAATCAGCATTGTAAGAACTGGAATAACTACCTCCTGTAGACTCTGTGTGAATATAAGATCCGGAATTGTCATGCACATATTGTCCATCATTATTGTCAACGTATTTGCCTCCATTATTACCTTGTCCTGTACTTGAACCATAATCATTATATTCTCCATTATGTCTGTAGCCAGCGTCATCGTGGGTATATGGCACAACAGGAGAATCGACATGTTTATAAGGTTCAGCGTAATCGCCTGATGGGTCATGAATATAAGCGCCAGAATTATCGTCATCATAATTATAATTACTACTCTGGTAATTTCCAGAGCTTATTATAGAACCAGAATAACTATTGAGGCCTTTAGTATAGCCACCATTTTGTATATTGGCTTGGGCAATATTATAGGCTTTTCCATGGCTTGTTTTCGTGCTAGGAAGCCTGTAATCATCTAATATTATAGAACCACTGGTATATTTGGGTGCATTGATGTATTTAGTGGGTTGAACCAGACCTAAGTTAGCATCACCGACCTGATATGCTAATCCTTGACCTTGAGAGATACTTGCATCGTTTCCAATCTCATAAGATTGGCCTGATCCAAATGCGCCACTAGCTAATTCCTGAGATGCTATGAAGTTGGAGTCTAATGTATCATCTTTGGTTAAGAATCCACTTTGGATTCCAACTAAGTTATCAAGTGAAGCACCGGAGACGAGACTCTGATGAGCAGCAATGTTGACTGCATCAGCTGTCTTGCCATGGAAACCGGTCGCACCTGTAATTGTAATATTAGATTTTTAACTATGACTGTAACATACATATGAACTACCGACATTTATGATATCTGAATAAGTTAAGAGATAAGAGTGAGGGCAATCAAATTAATCCGAGATACAGCGGTAGGCTTGCCTGTGTCTTTGGATTCATATATATTCCCGAGTGAAATATGGGCAAGAACGCAGCAGCAATCACCACAACTATGTCTCTTACAATCTCATCTGAGATGAGAGACCTCACTGTATTACCAATATCGTATTGCCATTCTCAGAGTTCTGTTAAAATTTCTTAAGGTAAATATTTCGCTGACTAACTAGATTGGCTCTTATGACATAATGTAACTGAATTTAGACATCTTACCAGTGAGTGTGGCAGAAGAGAACCCGTAAGCCTCAGCTTCGTATCTGCCGATGTTCCCGCAAGCTGGTACGAGCCACGGCCAGTCACACTTGAGTTTCTCAGCATCGAATCCGAGGCCGAACGGACATCTGAATTCGTACGCAGTCAGCGGTGCCTTCCCGTGGTCGAGGCAAGCAAAGAACCAGCGGCAGTTCTCAGGGTCCGCGTAGTAACCTAAATATATATCATTATAAGTGTACGAGGCTGGTGGAAGATAATAAAACGAAAATGAAGGCAAAACTGTTAGCCAACAATGTCAAATTCATCAGGAATTGTCTCTGTTAGTTTGGACCTGACCCATTATTAACAATCTACACTGCTATGCCACACAGAATTATTGCTATAAGCTTATATATAGATACAATACCGAAAAAAACTTTGTACAAAGGTTACTGTGTGGGTACCTCTGATTCACCTAGATCAGTTGCGAAACATCTTGCTTAATAAGTTGTGTTAAGGGTAATAAGGCAGTAAAATTACCGGATACGGAGTTATATCCTTAGTACACCAATGGCAACGCATCATGTAAAATTACAATATCCCGTCATGCCGGCGTCCACCGGGAGGGCAACGCATAAGTGGTGTCACGTCCATAACATGACAATGTGGTTCTATTCTGTCGTCTGTTATATATAGGCGACACTTACCATTAAGTGGTTGCTGTTTAATTTCCAGTTGTATAAAACATATAATGGTTTTTGCGACCAGATTCTATTTACCTTCTCTGTCGGGACATAAGAATCTGTCCCGTGGAACGGGTGCAATTTCGGCGGAACCTGGGCATGCAGTCGCGCTGGGGAGACTGCCCGGCCATACGCAGACTTCGTAGCGAGCGTCGAACGCCAACCCCGCCGGGCAGTCGAACTCAAACACCTAACAACATACACGTTAAGCATTTTGCAATGTAATAGAATAAAATATCTGTTAAGTAATATTTATTGAGCAAAGCCTATTTACTCACTAAACGATTACTTAAATAACAATCGTGCATGGCAATAGCTGTTCATGCAAGGGATTTTCATTTAATGTTAGATATACACATAATAAGTACAATGTTATTTACATTGTATTTAATTTGCTTAAAAAAAGAATTCAGGTGAGTTTCTTGCCAGTTGAGTTTCTTTCTCTCAATTGAGTTACATACTAAACTGGACGGTAGAAAAAAAATATTAAAGAAACCAGGATAAATCACCACGGCGATCACATGATGACATGATGTCCAAGGTGCTGTTTATGTATACAGGCTACGGTTGCCACTTACCACCAAATTGTTTTATGTTCCACTTACATAAAAAACTGGACATAATGTACACATATTTCTTATGTATTTATTACAGTTGTTACTAGTAGGTATATACGTGAATATAATAGAAAAATTCTTACCGTATAGTCAGGTGAGAGCTGGTCAAACTTAACGCAGCGATAGAACCTCGCACAAGAGCGCGGGTGCACGAAGTATCCTTGTCGAGAGCAAGAGAACTCAGTCCTGGTGTCCTGTAATAAACAAATTTCATAGGTAAAAAGAATCATCACCATTTTCTTTACTTTAACCCGTATCGTTTAGGCTCGGCATAATATGTAAAAATCATCGTATAGATGATTTTTACATATTATGTATATAAATAAAATTGGAGTGTCTGTTTGTAATATTGAAATAACCGTTTTTTATTACATGCATATGAATATAATACGGCGCATACACCAAAATAACATTTTTTACAATTTTTGTCTGTCTGGAATGGCTGGACCGATTTTGAACGTCACGTGAAACGTACGAGCAAAAATTTTGCCTTCAATCCAGAACTTAGAAGAAGCTATTTTTCAAATGTAGAGCTATTTTTCAAAGATTTACGCCCGGCGTACATTTGAATGTTTGGAAGTGGTAAATATTTTACAAATAGCTGATTGATTTACCTCTCTTATAGAGTGTATGACGCCATCAGAGTCGACGACCTGATTAATCCTGTAAGGGGACACTTGCAAGGCGTCCAGGGCGCGACCCGGTGCCGACAGGATCTCGTGCTCCAAGGACCTGCAGCACATAAATTATTTTTATGAATTCACATTTAAATAAAATTAATAAATTGACACATCTATTCACGAATTTGGTGTGGCTGTGTATTCGCCTGGAAGTTTCTATCGTAATTCGTCATTTTTGAAGCTAGAACGATGAAACTTTTTTATTTAATTTTTTTTTATTATTAAGTTAGATTATTAAATATTTAATGCTATCGAAGGATATTCCACGTGGCCGAAGTTATGAGCACAGCTAGTATATAAGGTATACATAAATGTCGAGTTGCCTGAAGTAAACTAAAGAAACAAAAAAAGAAATAATGGTATCGAATCATCAAAAAACAGATCTCTCTGTGATATCATGGACACAAATGTAATGTACGTTGTCAAACAATCTAGTTAACTTAAGATACTAGTGTCAATTTACTGTGTTACTTTATTAGCAAATACGACAATTAAAGTATGAACCTATAATTCCCCTGATTTAATACTTAACAACTATATAATCATTTTAATAATACAGTTATACGGATTTTAACACGAATAAATCTATACACCAATTTGATATATTACTATTATTATTTATGTATTTCATTCTATCAGTCGCTATCCATCACCCCCTGTCTTTTCTACTCGACCCAAAGGCTGACTGGACGAGATCGCTCAAGCAATAAGACCATCTTCTGTACCTATATATATTACACACTTTATATTCTGTACCACATCAATTGACCTGCACGCGGTATCCTTAGATACGATTTTGGTCAATTATTTTTAATTAGCACTTTGGATTAACTGACCTGATTTCATGTTTTTCATTATCCTATCGTCGTTAACTGGTGGCCCGCCTGCGTATACAGTTAGCACCACCTTATGTGCCTTTTCATATACATACATTCATTAAAAGATTTTCTTAGTTCAAATGAACAATCATTATCCTTTAAAATCTATGAGCAAAATTTAATGCACAAATACTATGTATTGCTATTTTGAAACATCAGGCGTACTTTTGGCCTCTTATACATCTTAACATAGTATAAAATGTAGTCGCATCCGCTATCTATTCGCTTAGATCTTTCAAACTACGGAACGGATTTTAATACAGTTTTTAGCAATAGAGTGATTCACGACGAAGGTATAAATGTATAATAGAGTACTTACTTCTAGCTACCCAGAAGTAAGTATATTGTCTTACATCAAATTGTCTTACCTCATTACTTTAGTTAAGAGATGCATAATTTCATTAGCATGTGCACAATTTTCCTTTCTCTCCTTTTACTTAACAATAGGTAACGTAAATAATTAGTACCTGAGTACCGCAGCTCTGGGCGCTCTGCTCTGTTGATTGAGGACCTTGGCGAGGGCAGCTTTCAGACTGACTCCACAAGGAGTCTCCAAGTCACGGTCAGCGTCATGCAGTGCGAGCCCGGCCAGGCCGCGCACTCGTGCATATTTGCCTTTTACGTCCACTGAAGAAGAGTCTTCGAACGACATCCATGTTGTATTCCTTAAAAAGAAATAAATTCATCAATCACAATAGAACAGAAAATCTTTCATAGGAATAAACTTAATTTTAAGCACTTTTTTTTACACAATTTACTTCTCACGCGGAAAGCTGTCTCATCACAAATAGAACGAGCAAGAAACTTGCATGTTGCTCTTTTAAATAATTAAGTACTGTATTTAAAGAAAGTGTATTTTTATTTTGAACTGACTTCAAACAGAAAATATCTACAATAACTCTTCTTGCTTCTTCATAGAATAGAGAAAGAGAGTAGACTAGTGTCTTAATATAAAAACATCACTATACAATTAAATAAAAAAATACAACGGATTTACATTATTTTGTTTAATTCCACTACCATTAGAATGTGTGAGACCACAAATACTCAGTGCGGAAACCAGACCACCGCTATTGGTAGCATTATGACCTTCACTACTAGTGATCATATTCCGACCGGTATTGAATCTACACCTATATTGCGACACGTGTTACGCCTCCAGGCATCATCAGGCTTTGAATAGCATTGGAAGCCTGTTTGTTTACTGTTCCTAGACGTACTCTGGTCATCAAATCCATTAAGTAATGAAATGGACTTCCACAAAATAACACCTAATTCGATAAAATATAAATAAATAAAGATAAAATTGTATATATAAAAATCACTCACTTGAATGCGTAAGGCGCTGACAGGTCCTGGTCTCTCTCCAAAGTCCATCTTCCCTTCTGCAGTAGCCTGCAAACTTCAGTTTGGTCTATTTCCTTGGGCTTCTCCTCTACTGTCGGGCTGCCTGGGGTACTGAGGGTTTCGTTCAGCAATGTGAACTTGTGAGCCGTCGCTGGCAAACTGATGACGATCTTCGACGCTGGTACTCCGAGTCCTACTACTAAGTCTACCACAGAATCCTGCAAATATACATGTTCCATTTATAATTTAATAATATATGACGGCCTTGGTGGTTTAGCGGTTTAGAAACCATCTTACTGCTGATGGTCGCGTGTACGATTCCTCGCATTTGAATATGAACAAACATTTGTATTCATAATAATGATTGTTTGTATAAGTCTGGGTTTTTCTATACAGGTATATATATAGGTATAACATGTATACATTTACAAAAAAATATTTATGTATTTATATCAGATGTTTAGTACCCATCACACAAGCTCTGCTTAGCCTAGGATAAGATGGCGTTGAATTGGACTAGAATGATCCTGGGTTATTATTATTATGCACCAGCTGTTACCTGCAATTTAAGCTGCTATTTATATAATGTATATCTCATTCTAGATTATTTTTTAAATTTAAAAGATATACCTCGTAACCCAATCTAACCTCGAATCAAATTTCATTAGTTTCCCCTCGGGGGTTTAATCGTGAAAAGTAAAACATACAGGCAGATACACTTTCGAATTTATAACAGTAATATGGATGATAAAAATAATAATTCTGTTAAATATTGGATTGGATTGTTAGTAATGTGTACCATCATGACCCCACTACTAGCAATGTACCATGTCAGGTTGACCTCCACGCGGTTCCTCCTGGAAACTATCGTGATAAATTTCTGGTGAATTTATTACGATGGGCTAACTGACCTGACCTCATGTTCATCTTATCATCCTCCACTGGTGCCCCGCCAGCGTAAAGCGTAAGTGCAAGCGGGTGCCCCATTCCATTATCATAGATAAAAAAAATAACATCTAACTATGTACTAGATTACGTTTATATATTCACCTGCCATCTGTGGCAGAATCCTATAATTACCTATTCAAGAGAATACTCGAAAAATCCTTTTTAAATTAGGGTTACAGTAAAATGAACTTTATCTGTGTTAATTCACATGTAAAGACCGTGTGACATGAAACAACTACTTTTTGCACTGGCTTGCCTTCACCGTAAAAATCTAAATTACTCATCCCTGTACAGTCGCCGTCAAAATTATGCGAACAAAAAAGTACACTAAATGTCGTATGTGAAAATTTAATTGATACACAAATTTAATAATTACATCCACTTTCACAATGAGGAAATGGGTTCACTATGATTTAGTCATATTTTCAGTAATTTCATTAATTTCGGCATCGCATACAGTTTATGACTTACGTGAATATACTCTATTATATTATTTTTGTTTTGACTACTTCAATCGAATAACTAACCTCATTGATAGGAAGCAACTGACTAAGCAGACAATAAAGACACCGATTTGTATACTAATACGGTAATCCGTATTAGTATACAAATCGGTGTCTTTATAATCGGTGTACGTATATACTAATGTATGTACGTACAAAAATCTATTGTGTCTCGTATTTCCGAATTTAATATTAAACTAGTTTTATAATAAAATACAATATTGTCATCCACTCATCTCTGAGAAGGCATAGATATATAAAACATACATTTTTGTAATATTATATTATGCGACTGTACCTAGATTCGATAGAATGAAAACTATGCACATAAATCTAAAGGTTTTGAATGGAATGAGCTGTTTCTAATTACCAACGTCTCGATGTAAATTGTATAGGTCACATACGTTGAATATATTAAGCTAAAAAATATATCGTCTTTTTAACTCATCGTAACTCATAGTAATTAAAGCTTAGCCCCTTTATTCGTAACTAGCAACTTGCCCCGGCTTCCCCCGATTATACATGTATTATTCACATAAAGCTTCCTGTTGCGTAGTTTTAAAGATTTAAGCATACATAGGGACAGACAGACAGCGACAGCGACTTTGTTTTATACTATGTAATCATAATGATATTAAAACCCTTTACAAATGAATTTCCTATATGCATTACGCTAGTTTATTAACAGTTTCTAAAAAAATTAAATTGCTAGTTAAAAAAGTGCTTAATTCCGTGAATCGGACAAAACAGTAGAATAAGTAAAATAGGTTTATTAGACATTGGAGTCTTTGTAACAGTAATCAAGATATAACTGTTGCAGCAGGCGAATGCAGGCGTGCAACCTAAATAAACTAAAGTATTAAAACTATATCTTGTAAATGATTGGATTGAGTATCTGACCCTTTAATAGGTCAGTCAGTACTCAATAAGTGACCATTTTCGAAATTCGTATAATATTCCTAAGGATATTCACGAAATGGTTTAATAAAAAAGTATTTGCAACTACTTAAATACAGTTAATTGAAAAGAATGATTGATTTTATAAAAAGTAGTGGCACTGAACGGCACAACTGAGAGGGTGCTAAAGTAAATTTAGACATTTTATTGTGTTACCTATAGACTTAGTAACATCTAACTTCATAACAATGGTATAAATAATTCAATGGAGTTATTTACTTACCGTGTTCATCATATCCCACATTCCGCTCAGCCTACTCGGATGATAAGTCATCTTCTTCACCACCCCTAAAGCATGTGTCTGAACCATCACCAAGTCCACTTTCTTCACCAGAACCCTCAGGTCGTAATACTTCGCCAAGAGCTCAGGGTTAGCTGGTAATGCCAGGAAGAGCGGTCCACCACCAGAGGAACTGAGGGTTGAACTGGCTTCTTCCACCGCCTGTAGGACTTTCGTCTTGTTGAGCGAACGATGCGCATCATATATCTCAAGACCTTGGACGTGTTTCGACTTGAGAAGCTTACGGAGATCCTGTAAATAGATGAAAACAAATTATGATTCAGGAAAAATGTAATATGAAGAACAAAGTCAAATTCTATTATAAGAAAGTCGAAATTAGAAATAGAACTATAGTATTTATTACTATTTACTATATATATTAGAATAATAGCTATTATAGTAAATTTATGCCGCATGAAACTTATAGCCAATATTATTCTGATAATAAGATATATCACTGTGAAGTTTCATAAAAACTCAGTCAGAAGTTTTTGCGTGAAAGAGTAACAAACATCCATTCATACTCACAATCCTTCGCGTTTATACGCGTAATATGACTAAGATTTTCCTATATTATTAGTATATTGAGGAAATTTTTCAACAATGTTACCTACATTGTTGAAAACTTTCCTCAATATACTAAGAACTCGAACTCATAACCCATTTCTTAGTGGTTGACATTGAACATGTCCATGTACATGATGAAGCCGTAAGTCGCTCTACTGGCGGCGTGTGAATAAATCCTTCGCCGATGAAAAGTTGCGTAAACAAGGGAGCGCCTGTACAGTCACCACGACAAGTAAGTACAACTTGTTCCATAGAGAAAACAGCTTGTTTTTATGTGGAACCAAATCTTATTGGCACTGTGGAGCAAGTATCAACATGCAGACGTCAAAACAAAAAAAAAGTGTATATAATTCTGGCGAAAGGACTGTACTACAAGCTGGTAAATATAATTATTGAAAAACGGTTGAAGATGGTGGTTTTTAGGAATAGTTTATTTAATATGTATAAAAAGGCAATATATTAGGAATGATACTGTATTTTTCTCAAGAAAATAATAAACTAAATATATAAAAAGGTGCATCATGCACACATATAGCACCAACTATGGATGTAACTACATAAAAACAATATACACTATTTACATTAGTAACCGGAACTAAACACGAATAATTTTATTGCAAATATATGAAATACTTTTATTTACCATAAAATTGTTCGTGTTTAAATAATCTATGTCAATCACGAATGTTTAAAAATAAGTATTGAAAACAATATATTAGATATTTTAATCGACTATATTTTAGTATATTAGTAATTTCTTAACTTTCAATTCTATTTTGCCATTTCACTTGCAATTTCTCTGAAAATTTCTTTAATTAAGTTACTATCTAGTTGAGGATCTTTCATATTTGTAAATCGGTAAAAATGTACTTTGCTACATGTAATATTAACTGTGGCTATAGTAAACGCATCTCCATATAGTTTGTGCTATAGCACTTTACAAATTGCGTGTACGTGCAATGAATAACGCGGTCGTGTGGATTTATCTCAACAGGAGCAGATCTCGACCGGTTCTCTCCTACCTTTAGTCAAATTTGTTACATCATATCATAAGCTTTAACGGTTCTCTTAATCTATTTTAAGAAACACTTATTATAAAGGTCTGACAATAATTCGGTTACTTTCTAATGCAGTTTTCGGATGCAGAATTATCTAAAGATCAATCATTGTTTTCTATAAGCCATAATAGAATAATTTATCAGAGTAAGTACCGACTAAACGTTTACGTAATTTATTTTTTTAAGAGATTTCAAAATGGTTGCTAATTCCTTCCTACTATTTTGGCGCGAATATTAAATATTACAATTTTAAAACTATATTAAGTTTAAAGAAATCGGTACTATTATCGATTTTGTTAAACTCAATATTGCTTCAAAAAAAAATAGTAACCTATATTACAATTTTTTTACGCTTTAAATATTTTTCTTATTACAAAATTGTCACACAAACTTATACTTTACAGATAAACACTGTATATCTAGGAATTTTAACATCGAAGTCTCCATAAACATAATTAGAACAGAAACCATCTTAAGAACTATCATGTATCTTACACCACCTCTATGATAGTAAATTTAGTGGTCGGCTTTAATGACATATATTCATGTACTAGCTGTCCGACTTCGTCCACGTAAAATTGTGATCTTGACCAAATAATTAAAAAATATTTAATAATCTGACCCAATAAAATACAAATATAAACATAACATACAACTCAATTAACAGACTAAAAAATAAATTTCCAACTATAAAGCCTTAAAAATGACAATGCTTCCATACAACCTCTCAACTCCCCTTTCAACCCCCTTACAACCCATTTTTCTTTATTTATATTAAAGCAGAATAATTCATATGGTTTTGTGTAAATTAATAAAAATATCCGCGAAAGTCCGGGACGGACCGCTGGTATAGAATAAAATAAATAAATATGGCAGTCTCTCGTAAAATCTACAATGCAATTCATAGTTGAAACGATGATTAATTAAGTTCGTACATACTCTACAGCATCCATTAATCATACAGAAATTTAGTGACTGTATGCTTTACTAGAATATAAGGATATTCTTTACTTGAATTAAATTACTTTCATTTTAGGTTATACAAAGTTTAATGTGTATTTATGACTCATAATAAAGACCTTTCTTTATAATAATCATTGGAACTTCCTAAATGAATGAAATCAAAACAATTTCGCTTAAAAACTCAATTAACTATTTATAACTCAATGAATTTGAAAGTTAATTACATTTCTAATTCTAATTGGATCATCCTTTTGCTTTTTACAATATATAAATAAATAAATAAGTAACCTTGAACAATTGACACAACACCATCTAGTCCCAAGGTAAGCAGAGCTTGTGGTATGGGTAGTGAATAACTGATATAAGTATTTAGATATTTTTTTTATAAATACATTCATAGTATACATAGAAAACACCCAGATCGATGCAAACAATCATACTCATGTTTGCACCGTGCGAGGAATCAAACCCGCGACCATCGGAAGTAAAGTGTGTGCTACCGCTCTACTACCGAGGCCGGCGGTGAAGTAAAAACGTAGATCGTTTCAAATTACTCGTAGTTCTATTCTTTTTCCGAAGAGAGGACTTGCATTTTAAACATGTGGAATGATATACGACCTACATTTAAGTACATATTAGGAGTTCAGTAAATCAAGTGCCATGTTATTGCAATGCACACATATAAGGCTACGTTTTATTACCGTTATCTCTCGTTGTAGGTATAGAATGAATCTAACCATCATATATATACATATATTTTATACTATCTGATATATATGTATATCAGTAAAATAAAAAAACAGTTCAAGATTTTTGTTATATAACTTTGTACATTATTTTGCATGCCAAGTTCGCCTATAAATAATTGTGCATATAGATCATAACCCATTATATGTAATTAAATAAATTGTATGATGTAAAAATTGTTCGTGATCCTACATAAATTTAAATATATGTACATATATACTAACTGATCCGCGCAACTTCGTCTGCATCACACTTATTTGACATTCATCATTATATTTCAGCAAATTTACATAAAATCTTTTTAAAATTATAGCCTATGTGTTATTCTGATGTTTAAGCTACATTACTGTAAAGTTTCATCAAAATCCGTTCAGTACTTTTTGCGTGAAAAATAAACCACAACAAACTAGGACGCTGCAGAAAGGAAAACCGAAAGAAGCAATACAATGTAGTGACAATTTAAAATTAGGTATTCGAAATATAATGTTTTATAATTGAGTAACTAAGTGGCCTGTATTCCACAAATTGTATCAATATTAATTAATGTTAAATTAAATAGCAAAACGATTAAAACAATAGCGAGTACTAGTGACCTCTACGTAGCGTCCTTGATTCTAAAGTAACGCCCTTTCGGTGTTCCAATGCGTGTTTACTATTATAATATGTCATCGGTTCACCTACCTAAGAAGGCCACATATATCGTCCAAATGTATAGTTCCGCGCCATTGTTTAATCTCCAAGGATGGGAGTGACAACACAATAGCCACAATTAACTAGACAGTAGTTACTCTATTTGGAAGATTGATAGAGGGTAAAACCAAGCTTCTATTGTTGTATGGTGAATAAACGATAGCAATATCGTTTTCACAAAAATACGTTTGTAATTTCTGAATAGTAATAAAAAGAAATAATCTATATTCAAATAAACTTAATGTACCTAAGAACTTTGGAATAGTCATATAACATATTTTATATTCTACCGCTCATTCCAAAAGATATATCACAAGATGACCGAATAGAACATTTGTGTTGCTCTTTTAAAAAATGTTGTTTAGCATTACATATTTAAGATTTTGAGTGAATATAAACTGCCAAAAGTTAGAAATTATAACCTAAAATAGATTATATCCTATATTAACAGATAAGATGCGTTTTACTAGACTTCGATTCATAATTTAACTAGTATTACCTTAATTATTAAAATAAATACGTTAATTATTAGACAAGAAATTGAGTTTATATAGTTTTTATGCCTTATTTGACTGGCATAGCAATTTTCAGAACTCAGACTAAAAAATGTGCTGAACTTATAAAAATGTTTCCAAAGCTTCACAAAGAACAAAATATTACTTAGTTTCTCGAATTTGTATTAAAATAGTTACATTTTATATTTGTTTTTTAATATACTTTAATAAATTAAAATATACACACTCCGATATAACTCGTATGTAGTTGTTACGTAAAGAACGCGATTTACGAGTTGTCTCGTAGTTGGCAGTCAACGTATAATGATCATCATAATATATTACTATTATTTCAAATGTAGTAGCATATAATTTAGGCGACGATATCCTTGTAACATAGAAAATCATTACATAGTATTAAACAAAGTCGCTGTCGCTGTCTGTCCGTCCCTATGTATGCTTAAATCTTTAAAACTACGCAACGGATTTTGAAGCGGTTTTAATAGATAGAGTGATTCAAGAGGAAGGTTTATATGTATAATACATGTACACCCGGGCGAAGCCGGGGTAAGTAGCTAGTTAAATATTAAATATATGAAGTACAATATCCTTAGACATGAACTCGGTTCGCCATGATTACCCATCGATCAGAGATTGATAGAATTTCAAGGTAATTTCAAAAGGCTAAGGTCATACACTATAAAAGTGTTAATTACAGGCTATGAACTAAATG